GCCTCATCTGAGAACTAGGCTGGTGCATATCCCCCCTTTTTATGGTAGAATTTATTGTTTTGGAGTTGGGTGCAGTAGCTTGTGTCCACTTGAGCCCAGGAGTCACCAAGGCTGAGGCAGGTGCATCACTGCCTGGGCAACATGGGGGAGACTTTCTTTTAAAGAAACATAGCTGGGCGAGTAGATTGTTTGTCGTTACCCAGTTTGCTAGTTGGTAGTGGAGTGAGCACAAAACCGGTTTTTCATTTGCCAAGGCACTGTTGGTTTTAAGGGTTTGGTTTGTGGGAAAGGTTCCTCTGCAGACACCCAGTTATCACACCTGCTGTGTGGTAGGGGTGACACAGACACCAGGCAGTCTCAGCAGCTGACCCCGACCCCTAACCTGTTCAACTCCAGGTGAATGAGTCCTCTTTTCTTTCCTGATGCTGCTGTGGAAATTACCAGAACAGGACTGAGACAACAGAAGTATATTCCCTCACAGTTCTGGAGACCAGAAGTCTAACATCGGAGTGTCAGCAGCTTGAGGTTTTCTGTGGAGCCCTGCGAGAATCCGTTTATGCCTCTGCTATCTTGGGTGGCTCCCATAGTTTTTCAGTTTGTGGCTGCATTACTGTCTGCCTTATTTCATTTTATTTTACTTTGTGTGTGTGTTTTACATGACTTCCTTTGTGTGTGCATTTCTAATTTCCTTCTGTCCTCATAAAGATGCTCATGGTGACATTTATGGCCCACCTGATACACAGGCTAAACTGTTTAAGGCATTTATTTTGAAGTGTAAGTAGTATTCATTTTTCTGCTGCAGAAGGTAATATTCACCGTGGGGTTATTTTCTTAGTTTGACCTACTTTATAAAAAATTTTCTGCTGAAGCCATTGCTTGCTTCACTGTAAGCTTTCATTTCCTGCTGTACTGACTTCTGAAGCAAAGGTCAACAAACTATATCCCTTGGCCAAACCCATCACACTGCCTATTTCTGTGTGGCATGCTAGGTGGCAAGAATAGTTTTTCATTGTTAAATGGTTAATGGAATCAAAAGAACAATTATATTTTGTGATGCATGAAAATTACATGAATTTAAATTTTAGTGTTTAAAAATAAGGTGTTACTGGAATACAGTCCTGTATTCATCCATTTATATATTTTGTCTTTGCTTTTGTGTATAGTGTCAGAATCGAATAGTTGCGGCAGGGGCCACGTGATTTGGAAAGTGCAGAGTAAACATCTGACCCTTTAAGAAGAAGTTTGCTGGCTTCTAGTCTAGTAGAGATTTCTTTATGTCTAGCGTTTAGCACATAGCCAGCACCAACCATTTGTAGGAATAACTTTTACTATTTAGGAATATTTAACTTTTAATATTCTGAATACAGAATTTAACAATCTTGCTATGATTCCTCAAAGATTTCTATAAAACTGTATGGCATTAGAATTTCTGTTGTCAGATTATTCATGGATCTAATCTTTATGTTTCTATGAGTCAAATAATAAAACATAGAGTGCTAGTCTTGCCTGTGAATTTAATTAACAAGTAAACACTATATCTGGTAAAGAAAATACGGTGGGTCTGCACTGTCTTCGCCAATTTTCTTGTTGCTGAGACAGAATCTCTGACACCCAAAGTTAAAGGAGGAAAAGTTTATTTGGCTCACAGTTCATACAGACTTCAGCCCATAGTCAGCTGGCCCCCAGGCAGAGCGGCTTGCCGAGGGGCATTGTGCAAGAGAAACAGTTCATGGCCAAGCCGGGCAGGCACAAGGCAGCAAGCAGCAGTAACAGCAGCCCGCTCAGTGTCTTCAGTTTTATCCAGGCTACCAGCGGGTACCCCGCACCCTGTTAATCCTAGCACTGCACCGTGAGTTAATCCTGGCACTACATCTGTGCTGCCAGCGACACGAGCCCTGGATTCAGCCACCACAGCCTCTGGGAAGCCCCGCCTGTGACTGCATGAGGCTGTGGGAGGTAGTATCTAGACACAAGCTACAGCACGCATGGTGGAATATTATTCAGTCATAAAGAGAAAGGAAATCTTACCATTTTAGGAAGATGGATGGGCCTGGAGAGCATTATGTGAAGCAAAATAAGCCAGACATAGACAACTCTTGTTTCTGTCATATGTGGAATCTAGAGGAGAAAAAGGACATGAAAGTAGAATTAAAGAAGAAGAAATAGGGGAGGGCGAAGGGAGGGAGAGGGAGGGTCAAAGTATGTTATAAACCTGTGTAACAATGTCATTGAAACGATGATTATGTATAACTAATATGCTTTAATAAAATCGACAAAAAGTATCATATTCAGGAATGTGGCAAATGGGAAGGTTAATTTGATAGACGTGGGGATAGGCTGTGGTGTCCGCCGGGCTGGTCAAAACCAGTCTGGATTCTACCCTGGAGGTACATTGACCATACAACGCAGTCAGCTGCAGGGGAGTAAAGCAGGTTACCTCCGCTGTGTGGGGCCTCACCAGTCAGCGACTTAAGCCTTGTCTCAAAGAGGAAGAGGCTATAGGTGGAGTTCAGTGTAATTAATCCCCTGGGTTGGCCTTTTTTTTTTTTTTTTAAGAGAAAAAACCAGAAATATCAAGAAGCAAACAATTAAAAATACCGAAAGCAAAATAACAACAATAACGAAAACAATGGCAATATAGGATTTCAAAACAAGAGGATAGAAATTTAACAATGGTTGTTACTGCATATTGTTATCCTCAAAGTAATCGCTCAGGCTACCAGATACAGACATGCAGGATTGATCAAACAATACAATTTCCCTTTGAGCAGTTTCTTTCCCTTTTATTATGTCTATTATAAGTTTTGGACCTTATTTACTCTTTCAGTTTTTTTACACTAGCAAGACAATTTGGTGTTTACACATGCAAGTCTGATTTATTTCACTTATGACTATGGTTTCCAGTTACATCCATTTACCTATAAAAGCCTCGAGTTTATCATTCTTTATGGCTGAGTAGTATTCCATTGTATAAAAATACCACATCTTTTTTATCCATTCCTTGGTTTATGGGCCTCTGGGTTGTTTCTGAGGTTTAGTGATTACAAATTGTGCTGCTATAGACATGGGTGCACATATATTGCTGTGGTGTGATGTTTGCAGTTCTTCTGGGAAAATACCCAGAAGAGAAATAGCTGGGTCAAATGGAACCTCTACTCATAGCTTTTCTGAGCAAACAATGTATTAATTTCCAATGTACTTGTACCTCTATTTCCTGTTGGCTGCGTTTCACTGGAGACCCTGGCCCCTCTAGCAAGCTGCCCTGCCCTGTGCCGGCCTGGTCTTCAGCAGGTGGCACCCAGGTGTCGCAGCCACCTCGAGCAGGGTCCCCCCCCTTCCTGCACAGCTCTGGAGGCTTCTGATTTGCAGTCCTGGTGAGAGGGAACGAATTATATTTGGCTGCCACAGAGTCAGAAATCAGTTGTTCCCTTGCGAAGGGGCAGAGGACTCTTTCTAATGCTTTCTAGTGCAGAGAAGATGGAGATAATAGTTAAACAGAAGGAAAGGCGCCTGCTGTTGGAACAGCTGAGAAAGGAGGGAGACAAATTTCTGAGTGGCAGAATGGTGCGAACTCTGCCACCTTTCTCCTTCTGAAAGCCAAGCTTTCTGTGTGTGCTCCAGGCTCATCCAACTCCCTCACTGGCTCTGTTGTGCCACCGATGGCCGCTTTCACCCTCAGAGTTTGCCTCTTAGGCAAAAACTTTAAAAATTGGGTAGAAGTACAAAATAGATGCACAGTAGCAGCTTATTGTATCTACATTTACAGTTTTATAAACGAGTAAATGTAACGTTTGTCTTAAATTTTGCAAAACCAAAATTCCACATTTGAGCAGAAAAAAAATCCATCAGGTAGATGGTGATTTTTACATTGTAAACAGTTGACCAGGCCTTGGCATAGTGCTACATTTTAATTTTTCTCAAAGGGGAATTACAGCGTCACCTAGCCTCAGGAGATCTCTGACTGCAGGTGCACCTGTCCAGTCCTGACACCCTCTCCCATCCCTGCCTTGATACTTGTCTAAGCTGCACGCCTGTGGTGAATTACGACCTGTCCTCAGCACGTCCTGTGCTGTTTTAAGGAAATAAGTGTAACTTCAAGTTTGTGGGTTTGAACCACTAGGCAGGAAGTCTGATCGTATTTGATAAAATATAGGGAGAATGATTGCATTACTATAAAATAACAACTTCTTGCTCAGGATGCCATTTCATTTTCCATAGCTAAATTCTTTTATACTCTTTGCATCCTGCGGAAGTTTTCATGCCATTTATCTGTCTAAATTGGGAATTATATTGACATTAGTTCATTTCAGCAACAGCGCTGTGAACAGTGTTTTCCAAGCGCACGACAGGTCTTGGAAACAAGAAGGGAGGAAGTGGGTCGCTATTCTCAAGTTGCTTTCAATCTCCTGGACTGACAGGCTTGAAAACACAGTGACGATGGGAATAATAGAACTTCATTCATACAACACAGATTGTCAGACAGGGGAGGGATTGATTCCGGTGTTTGGGCTTTGAGGGAAAACATCAGTGTATCGGGCAGGAGGGTGTTGGTTTTTAGAAGTTTTACCCATGTTATTCTTAAGTAGCATGTGTTTAGGGTAAAGGAAAAAGATGACTGCAGATTCAGCCAACTGTGGATCAGAAGTAGTTGGAAAAACAGTTGTGCGATGGACATTATCTCTTGTCATTCCCATATTAATACAGTGTAAAAATTATTTACATAGTATTGGTATCATTTTAGGTATAAGCAATCTAGAGGTGGTTTAAAGTATGTAAGCGAAGGTAGAGGTTATATACAAACACTATACCCTTGGGTATGGAACTAAGTGTTCTTGGACTTTCGTGAAAGATGGAAAGGGGGCGAGTCCTTCAGCCAGCCCCTTGGGGAGTGCTGAGGGAGGATTGTATTGACTATTAGTAATTAATGACTATTAGTAAGACCTAAACAACCTGAAAATGTTGATATTATGTAAACTGACACCTCCCCCTTGTTTTTACAGTTGGTTAGTCTGTTGCTAATCGGGATTGCTGCCTGGGGTATCGGCTTTGGGCTGATTTCCAGTCTCCGAGTGGTCGTTGTGGTCATCGCAGTGGGAATCTTCTTGTTCCTGATCGCGCTGGTGGGGCTGATCGGTGCTGTCAAACACCATCAGGTGTTGCTGTTTTTTGTATCCTTTCTTAAAATTCGGATTTTTACCACAGGGGTTGAATTCATACTTGCTGTTGATTTACTGCTTGAGTGGCTTATAACTCATTTAATATCATTAGGAAGTTAATTGTCAGCCAGTAACTCCTAGAAAGCCCTGAGCATATATTTGTTCAGCCAGTGTTAGGAACATTTCTGTTAGGGTAAAGTATTGTATGTGTGCATGTTCACACTCCTTGTGGTGCATAAAGAATTCTGCAACCTCAGTGTAGTCCTGATAATACAGTGAGTATATGTATATGTAGTCTCTGAACTCTGCAACTTCAGAGTTAAATTGAACTGATTCAATGCACTCTGGGCCCTTTCCAACATTTTAATACTTGTTTAAGAAAAAATTGTTTTTTAATACTTAAAATTTAATACATTTATGGACATTTGTCTGTACTTATTTCCTATTTTAGGTATGTAAAAATTTTTATTCTTGAGCTCTCTGTATATTTATGAGCTTTAAAGCTTCAGTGTTTCACCAAAATAATAACTGTGTGTGTCTTTTTTGAAGTTTAAAGGTCATTTGTTCTAGTTGCTCAGTAAATTGCTTCTGGTGCCCTTTAAAAGTTATGCTGGAACTTCTGATTTATGCTGTTTAAAGAGTACTGAGAAATATCCTTAACTTGAGCTCTCAGTATATGATTATTCTCTTACTTGTATTTATTGTTCAGTTTTCTGTGTCTTGTGCTTGTTTAGCCCTGAATCAGGAGCAGCAGGTGAGTGGCCTTTTTCCTGTGACTGTGCTTCATCACACACCACCGCGTGAGTCCAGGAAGCAGGGTGGAGGGGTGGAGGAGACAGACAGCAGCCCCACTCTGACTGCGTTAGTTAGCCGGGCTGCCGGAGCCCAGAGACTATGAGGTGGTGCTGTGTTTTGTGTCCTTTAAATGGGGTTTAAGTCTCACTGGGTAAAAAGTATTACTGCCCAAACGTGTTTACCAGGTCCTTACTCAATACTGTAAGTAGTTGGCTCCAGGCTGTCTGTGGTTCCATTTCAGTAATTCTTCTTTTCAGGCTTCAATGTGTACAGAAATGGGGCTTTCTATCTTGGGGAACAGAAACTTTATCTTGCTATACTCTAGGAATTATGTCTTTGAACCAGATGTTATAAATTGCATGTAAAAACTTGGACCTTGGGGACTGGGGATTTAGCCCAGCGGCATAAGTGCCTGCCTTGCAAGCAGGCAGTCGTGAGTTCGATCCCTGGTACCAATAAAAAGGAAAAAGCAAAAAAAAAAAAAAACAAACAAACAAACAAAAAAAAAAACTTGGACCTTTTTTTTTATTCCTGAGATAGAAAGAGTGACTTAATTTTTGTTGCAGAATGAAGGATAAACCTTCAAAAAATCTTAATGCTCTTTTGGAGAGTATTTGTTTTACATAATCAGAATTCTAAGTGCTGTGGGTCCTAGCTTGTGGATTCTATGCAGTGATGACACATTTTAATTTATGTGTTACATGGGTTTCCCAGAGTCAGCTTCTGGAAGTTGGCTGGAACAGTACCGCAAGTGCTCGAAATGACATCCAGAGAAATCTAAACTGCTGTGGATTCCGAAGTTTTAACCCAAATGACACCTGCCCGGCTGTGAGTCAAATTTAGAGACTTTTTAAAGGAACTCATTTTGTTTGATGCATAGTGATTAACATGGGAGAAATGAATTTTCTGATGCTGAATTGTATTTCAAAATTGTTCTATGTATGCCTCTATTTTCAAACACTTCATTTTAGCCTTTGCTTGTTCTCAGAGATCCTGAATATTCCAGAGCCCAGCTAAACACACAATTTTTGGTTTATTGCCCCTAATTCTTTCCCTGACTCTTCTGAGAACAATCTGGGAAAGAAGAAGACTAGAGAATAGATCAGTCTTAGAGATTTAGAGGAAATATATAAATATCTTAGTTTGAGAATGATCTCTACTAAATTTGGTTTCTTAGCTAAATACCTTGAAGGTAGAGAACCCTCTGCATTCTGTCCTGTACAATTCCATATCCTTTGTGTTTGGAGTTGAGCCTTTGATGGAACATCTAGAACCAAATTCCTGTCTCAGGCCAGATCCCTGTGGCCAAGCTTCAACCCCAGTCCCATGAAGACAGACTTGGGCTTGGCACAGGTCAGCAGCTCAGGTGTGTTTATATTTTGGGGGACTCTCAGAACCCTGAGCTGGATATCCCTCCTGGTGAGAGGTGTCAGTGGTGATGTTTCTTCACAGGAGTCTGTATTAATTTTCCATTGCTGTGTAACACATTTTGTGGCCTAATACAATACCCATGTGTTGTCTCATGGTTTTCATGGGTCAAGAGCACAGATACGCGTAGCCAAGTCCTCTGCTCAGGTCTTACTCGGCTGAAGTTAGGTGTTGGTGAAGGATGAAATTCGGAGGAGAGTAGGGTCCTCTACCCAGCTCAGCAGTGGTTTTTTGTAGAATCAGTCCCTCGTAGTTGTAGGACCAGTTGCCCTGTTTTCCTGGTGGCTGAGCATGGCAGCATCCAAGTTTGCACAAGAAGCTCCATTCTGGCGAGATGGAGTCAGACAGAATGCAACATAGAGGTACGGGCATGACTGTCCTATCAGACCACAAGTCCCAGCCACAGAGGATCCCCTGGGGCCATCTGAGGAGCTCACATACTGCTAAAAAAAAAATGCCCCAAATTGGATATAATACTCCCGGGTCCTAGTTTGGCATTTGTGCTGTTTTATATGCTCTTTATAAATGTACTTTAAAATAACAAATCTGTTCTTTAATTCATATAGAGCTGTTTTAAAGATGTCCATCCGTGCCCACCCTGTGCTCCAATAATAGGAAGATATGCGGGAGAGGTTTTGAGATTTGTTGGTGGCATTGGCCTCTTCTTCAGTTTCACAGAGGTACGTGTAAATAGCTCCATGTTTTCCCATGTCACGGAGAATCCAGTTTTGCTTGGCATGAGGGCATGTTAGCATGGCACCTAACTTTTGGAAGATACGAGTGAATATTTTCCTTGAGAGCTGATGGGTAACAGGAGGTCCCTAAGATTGGAGTCAGAATGTCTCATGCAGCTCACCTTAACTTTATGGCAGTGTGAGATTTTTGCTCTATTTCCTCAAATGTAAATTGATTTTTTTTTTACATTTTGAGAGATCTTTTTTGTATTAGTGAATATTTACAATACATATTAATTGCATTTGTTTTGGGGAATCAGTGTATCTACATATCACATTTTAGATGTGAAACCTAATGAATGCATGAAATGAGATTAGCCTGGGTTTTCTCTATATCTCTTTTCTTACATTATATTTCCCTTTGTGCTAAGCTGTATCCCCTGCGCTGTTTACTGTTTTATTTTGAGAAAAGATCTTGCTCAGTTGCTCAAGCTGGGCTCAAACTTTCTGTCCTTCTCTCTCAGCTTCCCAGAGTGTTGAGATTACAAGCATGTGTCACCAAGCCTAGCTCAGTGTCTTTATTAAACTCTTAATATCTGCAGATGATTTTTAATGCTTCTGCGTTCACAATATGTATAAAAATTAAAATTTTCTGTCTTTAAGGCATAAATCCCAGTTCTAGTATTTTTATTTCATAGAGATAATTGTATAAATATAGAAAATCAATATGAAAGGATGCATATTATTTATAGCAACTATCTTTTAGCCATCTTTTCTTCCTCAGCAACATGCTGGTTATGTTAAAGTGTGTTACACAGGACCGGATGGCTAAGCTGGTCTGGTTGGAAATGCAGCATTGCTGATCATTAGTTGTGAGCCCCTAGGCAAGTTACCCATTCTGTGCTCCTCGTCTTTAAAGATGAGTACGGTATAATAATAGCCCCTACTTTATAGGGTTGTTGTTATGATTAAAGGGGTTGATGTAAACCTTGTAATATGTATAGTAGTATCTGCTATGTGGCAGGTGCGATGTGTTAGCTGTTGTTTTGTAGCTATTAATTAATGATATGTAAGACTATTATACCCGATTTAAAAACCAGGGAGACTTCTACCATTGTGGTGTAATGACCACGTCATGGTCTTGTTTTATACAGATAACTGGATAACATATGTCAAATGATTATTTTAATTCAGACTGTGAAATGTAGAAATTATACAGTAGTCTATGTGTAAGAGTAAACATGTATCTTTAAAAGAAAATCAGAGCAAATCCTAAGATTTTGTGTGGTTGAAATCCTGTACATCCATTTAACCCATTAACATTTAATTTTCTCTTTACTATGCCACTATCGTAAATAATTCCAAAGTTGCCTCTGTGTCTAGAATGTTTCATCTCTATCCTATCCTTTTTATAATACATTTTAAAATGTAAAATGTGATATCACCTGGGCGCATTAGTTAATACTGGATTGCCTACTTGCCTTCTGGGAAGAGCCTACCAACCTTTGATTTGAGCACTGACGCTACACATTTGTACTAAAGAATTTGACAATCTGATAGGTTAAAAATTTTCTTTTCTTGTTTGCTCTTTGGGAAAAGTGGGTATGAATTTAACCTTGTATTCCTGTGGTTTTGGACTGTTACATTTCTTCCTTGGTGAAGTACTCATTTACTTTTGTCTTACTTGAAGCTCTTCAGAACACTGGTGCAAATTCAAAATAGCACCCCCAAAACAAAGGGGTTCTAATCCTTGCTGGGACACTCCCCGGGATGGCGCGTGAGAGGTGCATAGTGCTCGGGCACTGGGTCCTTTGCCTGCTGCCTCCTCCTTCCTGTTGCTTAACTTTTCTCTTTCCTTCCTTTCCTCCCTCTTCTAATTTGTCACAATCCATTACAGTTTTTCTGTAGACTTTTTGTTCTTTCACTTTCTGTGGTATTTATTATTTTTGTGACTTGGTTTTTAAATTTGGAGATTTTACTCTTACTGTGATCAAATCTATTGTTTTTCTTTCCTCCTACAGTTTATCCCTTTGACAAGCTTAGAAAGCCTTTCTCATTTCGATGCTTCGTGTGCGTGCGTGTGTTTGTAAAATGCACAAATAATGTATGAATTGCATTTGCGTATATAGTGCATATTTTTTGTATGCATCTATGATTATAGCATAGAATACATGTATATGTATGTGTATGCACATTTCTTAAATGTTGTTTTTAGTTTAGTTTACCTTTCAAGCATGAAAAATTCATGCCTGGCTGTTGCAAAGTGGGAGAAAAATACCAAGCTTTGTCCTTCTCCTCTGATGCTCCATCTTTGTGATGCCACTGTGTTGTCCTTTCTCTCTGTTTCTGACTTTGATCACATCCTCAGCTTACCCAGACAGTCTGTAACTTCATCATGCCAGCAGACGCCCCGCTACCCTAGAATGCAGCGACTTCCTGGGTGCTGGGGCCTATGGTGTGGGTATCCTTGGGGAGCACTTGTACTGCCTGCCAAACAAAGTGTTCATATTTAAATTTTTCAAGGATCTCGCATTTGATTTATTTAGTTCATTTGAAAAGAAAAGAAAATCTCTTTCCTTTGCGTGGGAGGAGAGCAAAGCTATTTAGAGGCCACAGAGTTGTTTTATCAATAACTGAAATATACACAGACTTTCCTTTCTTTTTCTTCTTTCTAATCCAGATCCTGGGCGTTTGGCTGACCTATAGGTACAGGAACCAGAAAGATCCTCGTGCTAACCCTAGTGCGTTCCTTTGATGAAGAAACAAGGAAAATCTTTCATATCCTGACTTTTGTCCATTTCTCATCTAGTTTTAAATTAAGCTAACATGCTCATTTAATCAAGGAAGCAGTATCTAAAAACTCACATTATCAACAGTGGAATTACATATTTTTTTTCTTTCATTTCTCTAAATGTTTTTTCTTTTTCCATTGCTGACAAGAAGAAAAACGGAAACTCCTTGATCTCTTTTGACCCTTGGTGGTTCCCGTAACCTACTGTATTCACAGTGTCTGGCACTGTCCACTGTGGCCTTCCTTAGCATTTTTATCTGCAGAAATCCTTTGTATGACACTACTATGTTGATCATATTGTGAAACGAAATATGCATTTCACTGGAAAAATTGTATGGAGCACTGTGCTGTGTAGATAGTTCCCACTGGAAAAAGTTGATGTTACTAAGGCCGGAAAGTTAAGAGCTTCTATAATGTTAAATTCCATAAGGGAAACCCAGATTCCCAATATTTTTTGTCCTTTAGGAAAACGTGTTGTGAAAAGTGTTAATATAAAAGTGATAATTTAGTTCTAGTAGCCTTTCATGATTATACCGATGTATTGTAGAAATAGCTATGTCTTTAGGAAATTGTGGATTTGTTTTTGACTTTCACAGGTAAGTGCAAAGCAGAAGTGATTTCATGAAATATTGTAATGTTAAACATTTATCTTCAGCTTTCAAAATGGAATGACTTTCAGAAAGTATAAGTATATAATCTCTGTGTTCTTTTTTTAAGATAATTTAAACTCCACAAGACTGCATTTTTAAACAATTTACTATTTTAATGTGTTGGCCCATGTAGCAAAAAGATATTTGATTATCTTAAAAATTGTTAAATGACTTTTTCATGAAATTTCTCAGTATTGTAATAAGGACTTGTTGAATTCAAGCATATTTGAATGTGATAACCCTTATAATTTGAAATTGAATTAGTATTGTGGTTCTGTATATTAAGTTAAAAATAAAAAGCTGAAAACCTTTCTTTGTGCATCCATGTTTGAATTAAACAAGATAATGGAAGTTAATTTGATTCCCTTTTTTTTTTCCTGCCTTAGTTTCTCCTTTGATTGACTTAAGCTGGGAGTTGCTATTTAAGTGTATAATCAAACCATGATAATGAACTTTTGCTGGTAATTATCACCAAATCTTTTCTTTCTTTTTTCTTTTTTCTAAAAGAGAAGTCATTCATACTTATTTGGGGGAAAATACATAAATTCTTTCTAATTACCTAACATCACTGATTTCTTGTGTTCTAGGTTTCACGTGATACTTTCTGATAGTTAGATTTTAGACTAGGAAACGGCAGATAGTTGAACTGAAGGTTTTAGAGAGTTTTGTAGGAATGTCACTTCTGTGCCTCTGTCGTAGGAGCTGATCTGCTAAGAACACAGAACTGTATTGTCCCTAGAATGTCTTCCTGATCTCTGAGGCAATTCTAACAGTGTTCCAGATTGTATCAAAGATATAATCTTCAGAGATACATGAAGGGATAACTTTGAATTCTGTCTTTAAGGTATTTAATGTATATGTATTTTTTCTGTGTATTTTTTGTATTTCAAAATCCTGTAAGGTTCTGGACTCTCATAATACTTTTCTTGTACAAATGATTATGTTTAGAAACAGCTATTCTACAGAGAACCAGTCTGTATGCTTGATCTGTGTTATAACCCCAGTGGCTTTATTTGGGTCAGCCCAGTAAAAAATCAGAGCCTGGGCAGGTTAAATGTTAGGGCTGTTAAACCATGAGGATTATAATGATGGGAAATTAAATAACTGAGGATTAGCTGCTCAAGAAATGCACAGGTACATTTTGAGGCCCCCACACCTTGGACAGCCCTGTGAAATGAATCTGGACTTTCTGCTTGGTAGACCTGAAGGGCATGGATTCCAAGCCCTTCTGTGACATCTCTCGTAATCCCTGCCTGTCTGGATGCAGGCACGGCTCCCATTCACAGCACGTTACAGTGCCCCTGGAAAGGCCCCAGGAACGTCCATCCTGAATCCCAAATGGCCTGTTAGGAGCATTCGGACAAGCTGATCCCGCCTGTGGGAAAGAGCAGACTGCACAATTTCCACCCAGGGCCTGGCATTTCAACAAATGGGCACAAGGCAAATCCAACACCCTGCGTGCCATTTCATCTCACAAGTGTTTAAAAAGAGACTAACTGCCAAAGAATTCTGATTCCCTTTTACATAAAGGAGTGTCCCTTGGAATATTTCTTCAACCAGCCTTCATGCTGAAGCTGAGACAGTAACACTAATAGAGAAAAAGATTTGACATAATTCTAAAATCAGCTCACTGTGACGTAAGTTCATTCAGATCCTCTGTTATCTGAGCCGCAGTGTGCTTGGTATAAAACCAGTTCTGCGTGTTCAACCTTAATAGCATGACACTGAATGGAACCATATAGAGGGAAGGAAACCCGAAGTGTGACATTTGGTTCTCAGCCTCTGGGGCCCAAACTGCCTGCAGTACTTTGTCTAAATATTTCTTTAACCCTGTTTAGGTATGTTCACTCTTCCAAAAAATACAGTAAGTGCACGGAAACAGTTTTGCTTTTTCATTTGCAAAAATAAGGAAAAAGTTAGAAACACATTTTTATGTTGTGTTCTGAGAAAAGCACGTGTTGTGATAGTTAAGGACATGATCCCTCCAACAGGAATAGCCTTGTTTATGAGAAATGACAGCAAAGGTAAAGATCAACTTTTCCCGCTTTCTGGGTGCGAGGGGATTTCTATAACATGGATAGGTTTGTAAGTAGCTGATGACTTTACACCAGGCTTCCCAAGCAGAGTGATATCCCTCGATGTGTGGGCCAGTGTTTTTTAAAGCAGCAGCCAATCCTTCACCCAGAAGAGAAATGGGGGCAGTGAGACGGGGCCCAGGCAATTTTTTTCCTTTCTTTTTAAACTTTATAAAATTAAAATACCATAACAAAATAAGATAATAACATTAGTTAATATACTGTGTACCGTTATCTACAAAGTAGTTACTCAGAATACAAGGCATAACCCAAAAAGACTTACAAAAAAAAGCAATAAATGTCATCTTACAACTGAGCAGTCCCTGCCATTGAAATACTTCATGAGACACTGGGAAAGGGACAATCAGGCTCCCCCGCCAGATGCCAGGTCCTTTCTTTACCCTGTCCTTAGGAAAACTAGCATCTGGAACTGTATTTTCAGAGGAGGGCTTGAGAGAGTCACAGGTGAGTTAAGCTGCATGTCAGAGTGGACATTGACCTGCCTGCAGGGATGAAGCCACTTTTGCTTTTACTGCCTTGCCTTTTGCAAACAGGTGAGGTCCTCGCAGCAGGCAGCCTTTTTATAAGTCAGGCTGACGTGATGTGGACTTTGAAGTCTGGCTCCTTGACCTGAAGGAAATTCTGTTCTTAGAGCTTTCCCTGTCTTGTCTCCCATTTTCTCTGGTGGTCACTAATAGGAGGACCTCAGGAGCTTTGTAGAGTTAATGATTTCAAGAAAAAACATAGACAACAACAGCAAGTACTCAAAATCCACTGATGATGCTGGCCACAGTGAAAGAGGAAGGCTTTGAATGTGTTATTTACCGTGGGGAAATTAATAATGCCAAAAAGCTCAATTCAGACAAGGATCTGTCTAGGAACGTTAACCAAGGCAGCAGCTGATGATCTATATGCAGTGTATTATGTGGGCCACCACAACCGGGGACCAAAAAAGGTCCGCGGTGGCCGGTGATAGAGGATTTTCATCTAATAAAGAATATGAGATTAAATGTGTGGTGGAGAAGCTAAGACACGGTTGTAATTTTTGTTGGCAGACAGAATATAGTTAAAAGCTAAAGCCCCCTCCCCACCAGGAGCCAGGCCCTCTCACAGCTTTTCCCCAGTACCAGCGACCTCTGATCTCTGCCTCCTGACGGGATATCAGTGCCCTTTGTCCTTCCCCCAGGCCGCCTGTCCCCTGGTAGTGAGGAAGTGAAGCAGTTAAACCCAGTACTCTAGAAACTTTGGGAAAGCAAATGCTACAAGGCCAACTATCAGGGCTTCCTTAGAAGGACAGGTGTTTAGAGGATAGATGTTCTGTGAATGATCTTCACACTAACTGAGTCTTCGGGAGGACAAAGCTGGCTGCCAGGGATTCCCATGAGATCACACAGAAGTGTGAGGCAGGGTGAGAAGGGCGGTCTCCAACAAGGAACCCAAATTCCCTGCGATGTTTTCTGCACACTTTTCTCCACTGGTCGTGTACTCTTTGATTACTTTCCTGCCTCCTCTTACTCTGCAAAAGTCTGTAACAAGGTGGGATGAAAACTTTATTCTTTTGTGTGGGAACTCGTTTTGGTCTGTGCCCTTCTTGAGCGTTTTTGTGAGCATCCAATGGTCCTATTGGGTGAAAGAATCAAATAGCTGTTCTATACAAGACCAAGTTGGGAAAAAATGAAAGCAACAGCCTTCAGTTTAAGTACCTCCAAAAGGATTTATTTTTTAGAAAATCACAGCTTACTACAGTAGTGTACAGTATTGTTTTCATACACATATTCCTGAAGTCAATTTTAAAAATAAAAGACGGTTGTAACATTAACCATAATGTAATGAGCGTGCTGGCCAGTGCTTCTGCAGTCTTCTTCGGGCCCAGTCTCCAGGCCTGGCATGCAGCAAACAGCTTGCAGAATTTCCCCCACTACAGTTCAGTCTTCAGTAGCTTGAGGGCTTTCTTCATGTTGTCAAGCACTAAAAGTGGGAACAGAAAAAACAAGATGCCCTTAGGAATTGTATTAATAGATGTAGTAAGCTTCCAAACCTGGTTGCTCCAGTCATTATTCAGAATGTTTTTTAAGTATATAGGGTGACTATTTGATAATCTTGTAAATTTTTTCCCTAAAATTACATAACACGGTTTTGTGACAATCCAGTTCTCGTGAATTTATTCTTTCTCAGATCTGCCTTCTCCCAATTCCCTTTTCCAAAAAAAAAATCTATAAGCTCTATCAGGAGCAAACAGTTTTGGTTAATTTGGAATTGAATCTTAAATCATGTCCAGAACACATACTTGTGAAGTGTGTACAGCTACTGCAGAGTACTTTAGAAGTACGTGGAATGTAAACTACAAAAATAGCAAGCCAGTGCTTACATAGATAAATTCCTTTAGTCCTCACAAAAACTGTTAGCAGATCATTTTTAGATGGAGGAAAAAGGCTCAGGAGAGGTTGATGCGTTTGCTCAAGGTCACATGCTAAGAAGTAATGGAGTTACTGCTCCAGCACCCAGATTTCTACATCATTATCCCTGTGCAGCAGCAGTAATTGCTGGAAGGTATGTGATCTAGTGAAATAAGAGGCCCCTATGACACAGGCACTGAGCAGCTGTTCACTCAAGAATTACGCAAATACAGTATTCACGAATTGCTGCTAAACACGACACGATGGTATTTTGGGTGTAGACACTGCCTTTAAAGAGTTCAGTCTCACTAAGATGCATACACGGGCAGCAGTGGGATGGCTTCTCCTTGGCCTTGCAAGCTTTTACAGTGCGCATTGCCAATATGGACTCCGGGGAGCTTTCCTGCTGCCCAGCCCCGCCTCCTTCCCAGCAGAGTAACCTGCCTCAGTGCTGTCCAGGAGAAAATGCTACGGTGATGCTAACAATATCTGGTGTCCGTGTACTAACCACTTGGAATGTAGTTAGCAACCGAGAGACTTCAGTTTTCATTGTACTGAAAGTTAAATCGCCACCTGTGGCTACTGGCTAACATTGAACAGTAGGTTCTAGGTAGCTATGACAGTTGCTCGGAACTGGTTTCTAGGATAAAACCTAGTTTCCTTTCTGGAAGAGCATGGGTAATAGAAAAAAAGGAGATGGATCTTTTGCAAATGAGGGGACCAAGAGGTAGGGGAATGGATGGGCAGGGGAGGAGATGTGCTAATGGAAATAAAAATTAAAAAAAAAAAGATTAACGTGTCCCAGTTAGATGCATCCATCCATTTAAATTAGTGCCACCCCAGACACCCATCTCTTCCTCATTTGCAGTGGCTTGTTGGGTCATCTTGCCTGTTCATCTCTAAATTGAATAGCCCAGCAACAAGCTGGGCTAACTTTCACTTCTGTTATTTGAGGGCTTAAAGCATCAGACTGTGAAACCTCTTCCATTCAGGTCTGTATTTGTGTACCTGAGAGGAAACCCGAAATATAGGCAACGAAGTCACAGAATCCTCGGGTAAAAGATCTAAATAATTCATCCTCAGCTGAGATTAAAAAACAAAACAAAAATCCTGGGAGCAGTGTGTGATGTACCTGAGGACTCAGGTGAATGGGGTCAGCCTGTGTCTCTGGGGTCCCTGAGCGGTGAACTGTCCTATGACTGCAGTGAAAGCGATGCCCCACACACACCCACCCGCGTCGGAGCTGCCACTTACACAGAGCGGTGTCTGAAGGCTCATAGGCATAGAGTCGGTTTGAGTACCTGCCAGTGATGTCTGCTCGCACCGTCAGGGATGGGTCTGCAGAGAGAAAGGGGATGGATGTTTTGTTTTCAAGCACCTCTGTTGCGGGTGAAGCTTACACAGTAGCCATGGGGTGTGAGGGGAGCCCAGTGCAGCGCTCCACCTCAGCCACTGGCTACCCAGCCTTCACGGAGAGCAGGTAGTGTGGTGCTATTTGTTGGGAGAGGTCATGAGCCCTGCCATCTATCTAATGTGACTCCAAAAAGGACGCTGCCTGAAGGCCAGCTGACCATGCACCGAACCTCCTGAAACTGTGAGCCAAATTAAACTTCTTAAAGGTGTGGGTTGTGGTTATTGGATACTGAGTCCCAGTCATGGGACAGCTGATGAATACACAGTGCCCCTCACTACTCTTTTTAAATTTGTTGTGAAAAGAGACTTTAAAAATAGAGATGAAAGAGACTTCTGTTATGTGTATCTCCTCCATTTTGTTGTATATGGAATTTAAAGTTACATTCAGTGCACCCAAAGGGAAATAGGAAGCTAGAGGTATAGAGACTTGTCTTGTCTTGAGTGGGTGAATGAAGGGGCCTAGAACTTTATCCTAAAAAGAAGCTGAGGACATGTGAGAACCATCTGCCTATTTTGGCTTCATGGCATTTCTTGTAATCCTGGCTTTCTGGGAGGCTGAGTAGGAGAATCACAAGTTTGAGCCCAGCTTGGGCAACACAGTGACTTAGTAAGACTTTGTCTCAAAAAATAAGGGTTTGGGACATGGCTCAGTAAAAAGGGTTCAGTACCTAGTACTGAAAAACAAACCAAAAACCACCTGCATTTTTGCAGTGTGTCACTGGTACAGGAGGAGACTGTCTTGTCATTTTAGAATATCAGACTAAGACCAAAGGACCTAAGTTACCAGGAGCAGAGATTGTATTTGTTTTATTTTGTTTCAGACAAGTCCAGTCTGGCCTCTAACTCACAGTTTTCTTCCTGCCTCAGCCTCCCAAGTGCTGGGATTACAGTCCAGGCTCAGCTGTTTTTCAGGGAAGCTTTCAGGACTATACTTCTGCTTGGTGTGGAGGATACAAAGTAAAGTAATGTAATTTTAAACTCTGGCCTGTGGATCCCAACCCTGACTGCCCTGGAGTCACCTGGAGAGCTTTACAGGCCAAGCTGCATGCATCCCACCTGGGCTGTGAGGTACTAGGTTTCAGGTGTGGTGCGGGAGACACAGGGTTTAAAATCCTCCAAGTGACTTTGACCACAGCCCAAATGGAGAAGCCTTGAGCTATAAGAGCAAGTTGCAGAGGAGCTGGTGCTCGGACCCACAGGACAGACTGAGATGTCCTTGGCTGGGGAGACCACAAGAAGTCTCATGGGAAGCATGAGCAACCTGTGACTCTTCCCTTCAGTCAAGGTCATACTGCTCCCCAGGGCACAGGGCTGTGGGGCGTTTGCCTAGCATGAATGAAGCCCTGGATTGGGATTTGATCCCTAGCACTATGAAAAGAAAATCTAACATTCTAAACCCTGACAAAACCTCCCTCCCTCCCCTTACCTTGTTTTTCTCTTCCCTGTTTTATAAATGTAAGCTAAACTTTGCTGAACCACCTGGTGAACCATTTGCTTAGACTGAGCTCTGTTACTGACAGGCTTCACTGTAGATTTTTCTTAAATCAATATGACTTTGGTCAAAGCCAAGCTCTATACATACTGAGTCATTCAGCAAACACTGAGAGTCTACCAAAAGGTCATGCTGGGATTGTGATGGCAGACACAGGGACGATCTCTGCAATATTAATGAAATCATCCGCCAGCAAATGGAGAATTATAACCGAGGAGCATTTTACCGATGGCAGAGAGATGGTGCTTCCTTCTCAGATATGTTCATAGCAGAAGGGGAAAAGTGACAGACAGCCAATGAGAGGTCATGAGTGGAAACAGAAGTTCAGGTTCGCCTAATGAAATGCATTGTGAACTGGAAGGATGTCCCCTAACCTTGCTGGAGGCTGAGTGGTGCCCATGACTGTGGTGAAGTGGCGAGTGACACTGGAGAGGTGAGAGGAAGGAGGTGGCAGCATTTACATCTTCAGAATGTGGTGTACCTTATTGTCACCTTCACTTACCCACAAATAAAATCCTGGGGACGTACTGGCCATCCGGAGAGAGATGTTTGTCAGTTGTTTCATACTGAGAGTAAAAAATAGAAATAAAAAGCTTTTAGTTTGTTTACCTTGCAATTATTTTCTAGCTTACAAACAACAATGGGTATATTCATGGGGCCAGGGACCTAAGACAAGATGGGGAGAAAAGTTGGGTGCATGAAATAATAAAAAAAAAAATAGAGCAGAATATGCTGCAGAGCATAAGATAAAGAAAGCATGGAGCAAAAGCATTCGAGTGGGAAGAGCTGGGAAGGAATTAGGATGGCTCGGGGAAATAGCTGGATGAAGGAACAGGAGTGGCTGGAAATTCATGAAAAAAAGCAGAACATGCTTTTGTGGAAATTGTAGAAACAATTTTCTTGAGCATTCACTGATTAATTTTATTTAGGATTTGATTCAGCAAAACACAGTGCTTCTCTTTAGTGAGTACACAGGCTACTGAGAAACACAGGAGAAAACGCTGAGGACACAGTGGGTGAGATGTTACATGGGGGACATGGGGTGTCAGGTTCTTTGGGTGCTTAGAGCAGGCCATGATCTCAGCATGCTAAGTCCTGCACTTATGAATGAGTTCCATTTGGGAGGACATTCATTCAAAGTGAGTCTTATGCAACTTTGACACAAATGTACAATGTAAAGCATAAAAAACTAAATGCATGGTCTGTTCTCATCTTGGAAGTCTGCAGCTCCAGTGTGGGTAAATCAGGGACTCCCCTTAACATTTTCTGAAGAGGGTAAGGAAGAGAAGTAAAGTAACAATAGTAACCAGGTCTGTGGAAAAGGACATCCTTGCCAGGGAAGAGCATGTGCAAAGGCACGCAGCTAGAGGCTGTGGGCTTACTCCCGTGCATTAGGGTTGTGAGAGGGGGGTGGTGAGTAGCGCCCCACCAGGTTGTTGCAGGTCCCAGATCTTGCATGATTTTGTGCATCATGTCACAGGGTTTTCATTCAGAAATAGTTAAGAACCATTGGAAAGATGTTAGATGAGGCACCATGACTCTGACTCAGTCTTTTAACAATTACCCTGACAGTCATGTGAGATTAGATGGATTTTTTTTTAATAGGCAGAAAGTCATTGAATAGCATTGCAGTAAGCTAGGCAAAGTGAAAAAGATAGACACTAAAATTATGGTTGTGAGCTTATAAAGAAGTTACAGTAATATCCTGGGAGGCTGAGGCAGGAGGACTGCAAGTTGGAACACAGCCTGGGCAACTTAGTGGAGACTCTCAAAAAGTGGGTTGGAGTTGTAACTCAGTGCAAAAGGTCCTGGGTTCAATTCCCAGTAATGAGGTGAAAAAGAAGTGAGGACTTCTAGTGAAACAGAGAATAAAGAAAGATGAACTATTTGCAAAACCAAGCCAAGGATGACTGATTCAGTGTGGGATACACTGAGCTCAAGCTAATTATAAGACAGTGCAGCGTGGTTGGATAGACAGGCTGGAAGACATTACTGCGGAGAGATGGAAATCAGCCTGCAGCAGTCTAAGCAGGTGTGGATGGTGTCCACGGAGAGTGTAATGAAAAGTTGTCCAAGCAGAGATTTATCAAATCGCTGACGCTGAGGGGCAGAAAGAGGAAGGGGAGAGGAAAGACGCATTGGCTGCTCTTTGAAGAAGCTGGGTTGTGATGGGAAAGAGAGAAGCTTAGAGGGACAAGGCAAGGCAGAGTCATTTTTGTTCACTTTTAGAAGAAAATGGACCTCAGAGATATACCAAATAGAAAGAATGTGCAGAAAAAAAAAGGCTTGAACACAGGCGAGATGGAGCTGCTGAAGGAGAGTGGGAACACGAGGGTAAAGCCTGCGGGCTCCACGAGAGTCCCACGGCCAGGACGCTGTCCCTGTCAGGGAGCAGGCCAGGGACTGACCAGCCAGGACCGCAGGGAGGTCACACGGGGATGATGAACAGGAATGACAGCAGGAAAGTAATTTGCAAAATACGAGAGCCTTCCCGTTGTTAATGCAGCGTGGAATCTCCTGACCACAGGGCAGTCGTTTTCAGGCAAGAGAAGGTTATTAATTACTAAATAAAAACAGAGGCCACGTAGGGTCTTAAAAGACGAAATGTCTCCTTGTTTTCAATCTGTGAGATGGGCTATTTGGTACAGATCCCAGTTAATTCAGTGTAACTAAGATGCATTGAAAAAATGAATCATCTGTTTTATTTAATGAATTTGTGGTGAAACGTTAATGAGAAAAAATAAACTCACGACTAGATTGAGAAGCACAAACTGTTCTGCCAATTTCTGGATTTCCTTGTTTTCGGCAAACACTTTCTTTAAAGCTGTAATATAAAGAAAAATCTTTAAGCATCCATCTCCATGTAGTTAAAAGCCTAGTTTTCTGTTGTTTTGAGTCCAGTATGACACTTCTGCTTTGTCCTTTTAGGAACTGATTTGTGAAATGATATCTATGTCGTTGTCTAGCTCTGCTTTTTGCCATTCATTTGTTCATTCATTCACCCACTTACTTTTTTTCCAACCCATATTTATTGAATTTCTACTATGTGTTACACACAGTTTTATGCTCTCAGGAAAGTGGAGTAATAAAAAACACAGGCTTTTCCCATAGAGCTCAGATATCTGTGTGAAAGACGGACAATAAGAAACACACAAAAATTTAATAAGTGCAGGTGGAGAAACGTACTTCAAAGCAAAACAAAATGAGGCAAGAGGTTGAGGAGATGTGGGTTGGTGAGGGCTGATCTCTGACAAAGGACCCTGAAGTGAGCGTGTGGTCCACTTTGGGGCTAAATCATTAAACTTTGAGGGTCAGCTCACACTGGACAGAGAACTGCAAGAGCAACAGTGTTGAGGTGGGGAAAGCTTAGAGGTTTGCAGAGCAGCATTTGCTGATGTATTAGATGTGGAACATAAACTCAAGCAAGAGGTCCACGATGAATCCTATCTCATTTAAAATATTCCCACAAAATATGGAAATAACACAGTTATTTTAATATGTTTTCTTTTTTACTTAAAATATTCTTTTTTTTTTTTTTTTTTTTTTTTTTTTTTTTTGGTACCAGGGGTCACACTTACAGGCAAGCACTTGAGCCACTGAGCTAAATTCCCAGCCCTAACCTAAAATATTCTTCCTTATTTGTGTTAGTTTCTAACGATCCAAAGATGGGTGGGCCCTCCCTAAAAGTCTATAAAGGACGATTAGGAGAATAGCTTACCCTGACTGTGGGGGCATTCGTCCAAGTGATGGATAATCATCAGCGGTTTGTTGCTGTAAGAGCAAACGGATGGGGAGATTTCAGTGAGAGGACCTCGGGTGCAGCTCTCTGTCACTAGGTGGCGGTCTGGAGACCCCGGCGGAGAGCATGCACCTCCTTACCTCGTCTTGGATTTGTACAAGGCTTCTTCATAGGTCTGAGTCCAGATGAGTTGATCGCCCCAACCTAGAAAAGTAATGAATTTAAAACTATAATTTTAGGCCCACACCTGTTGAACAGTAATGAATGGTAAAGACCCAGGATAGGTACATACTCAATACCAAGGGGTGGGTGGGGGAAACCTCTAGAGAAACTAGAAATACTTGTAAATTGTGATAAATCTAGGAAGAACACATCCCAAAACACAGGGTAGACACTTCAGCACCGAGTCAGGAAACTTTTCCCAAATAAGCAGCACTTGGGAGCCAACAAGCAGCGGGGTCCCACCTCTGGAGAGGGTCTGGGGCAGTTTGGGTCGAGAGTCCTTCTTAGCTCCGGGCTTCACTGTGGTTTCCTTGGCCAGGGTGTAGGACAGGGCGACCAGGAGCAGGAAGGCTGACGCCGAAATTTTCTCCATGGCAGATCTATGTGGCACACAAACAACAAACTATCAGTGATCTTCGAGATCTGCAGACTGTATCTCCGTGTGGAATACGACAGAAAGGGGCTCTGTTGACGTCGTATGCATGAGATTAGAGTAGAAATCCACGTTCAGTGAAATTCTTCTAAGTATATATTCCGTGGATATTTGTCTACCACCAGCCTATGGGTGTGTCTGTCTCTTACCCTGTTTATCAGTGGATAATAGATTTACAAGAGAAACAGATACAATATAAGGAAATAACTCCTCAGATGGTCCTGCTCTTACAGCTGAGGAAATTCGTATCATAGATTTATATTTACAGCGTGTAATTCTGGAAGGTGAGTTCTTCCAAAAAGATTTTGATTCTCCATGGACCTTTTAGGCAGGCGGTCATAAGTATGCATTTTAGTGCACAGAAGTATTCTGTGACATTCATAGCACAGAGAACTAAGCCCCCACGGGATCTCCTTATTAAATTCATTTTTTCCTTCGGCTGTTCCACAGTTAACTACTAGGAAAAGCTGATGCGATGACTGCAAACAGGAGAGTGAAGTCCTGTGGGTAAGGACAGAGGAAGAGCTGGCCAAGCAAGATGTGCAGTAATCACTAGGGTTTTCCAAGGACTGTCACTTGAAAAGCTGGAGACTTGGGGTTCTGGTAAAGCCAAATAGTAAACTTGCTTAAAAGGAAATATGACACTATAGCATCTAATTCTAATATACATTTAGGTTTTGAATTAAGTCTAGTGAACTCTGTAAAGGAAGTAGGACGGACGATCATTGCTTAATACTCTTAAGAGTGAAGTTTCTTATGACCGCATAGTTTGAATGGGAATCTTTGCAAAGTATTTGATGATTAAAAAAAGGAAAACATTGCTAAGTCACCAAATCCAAGTGAAGCCTTATATTAAACCGTCCAATTGGATAGACCCAGCGTATAGCTCAGTGGCATGGTGCCTGCCTAGCAAGCAAAAAACAAAAACAAAAATAAAAAAACCCAAAAAACTGACCAATTCTTACCAAGACTTAGTATGCAGGCACAAAGTGTTTTACCCAGAAAAGACATACATGAAATGAAGGAGTATAGTTCCTTCATTTTCTACACTTCTAACATGTAGAAATGCCAGGAACAGTTTTTTAAATTTCTGCAAAAACAACTCATATGTACCACAAGTCAGTGAGATACAGCCTTTTTGGTTTGATGCTTTTTTTGGCAGGGCAAGGGTCTCGCCATATAGTTCAGACTGCCCCAGAACCTGTGGCAATCCTCCTGCCTCAGCTTCTGAAGTGCTGGGATTACAGACAAGTACTACTACATCTGGCTTTTATTTTTAATAATAAATCAAGAACTTTGGTGTGAGAAACCTGGATAATTCCTTTCCAGTGACAAATAGATCTACCTATTGTTACTTGCAACCTTTCTTCCCATCAATGGAGCACCCTTTGGGGAGTTCCCAAACAGCCCATCATCTTTCTATGAGTGGGACACGCTCCCCTAAGCACTAGAAAACACTAAACCTCTAGATTATTATATTCTGCAGACTCACTTCCCCAAACACATAAAAGACCCGATTCCCCAACCATGGTGTGTCTCAGTTCACTCTGCACTTGAATGCATCCTACATTTACCCTAATAAATTCTTCTCACATCTTTTTTAAAAAAATAAAAAGGAACTTTAATGTGAGAATTATACCTTTTGAACATTAGTTGGCTAAAAATATTTTATAGATTATTTTGATTTTATCAATGTTTAATATAGTATTTACTAATACCTACGTGTACATAAGAACATAATAGTAAGTTGGTAATAAAGTGCTTTTATTCAGCCCATTGACCATTCTTCTTGTATTTAAATAGCTATTAAAATAGCTATTTGTACAATAGCTCCCTGGGTTACAGGTTGTAACTATTGATATATTACATGTGTTTTATGGCCTGTAATATAACTCCTGCTGTACAAACATCCTGCTCTTTCATAACACGAAGAGATTCTACTCTGTGAGCTTGCTGCATAAACTCATTAGAACACTTTAATTTTGGAAGATACTGATAATTTAGAGACACGCACGCACACAACACACACACACTGACACTGTGACGTCTGCACTTTTCACGGTCGCTCTATCCCTTTCTTTTCTTTTTTTTTTTTTTTTTTTTTTTTAACTTTTTATCGGTACCATGGATCGAACTCACAACCGCCTGCTTGCAAGGCAGGTGCTTATGCCGCTGAGCTAAATCCCCAGCCCCCACTCTATCCCTTTCTTAACAAGGAGTGAACCTGCAGGAGGGCTCCGTGTCCCTGTTCCTTTGTGCTGCAGAAAAGTAATCAGCTTTCTTCTCTGCAAGCCTAGCCGGTGAGTTAGAAAATGGAAGCCACAAGCATTCTTTACACCCCAAGAGAAAGAAAACTGTTTCCTGATCTGCAATATATACCCTAAGGGAGCACCTGAGTTGTGTTCTCAAAGTTGAGAAGCCTGCTGGCTTTTGCTTTAGTTCGCTTTTGGGAGAGAAGCAGAACACAGAAGGTGACCAAGGCTCCTGGGCCCTGTCCCAGGCTGAAAACTAAGGAGTTGGCCCGGGCTCACACCTCTGGTTTCCTAAAAGGGAAGGGATCACTTTGAACCTGCTCAGGAATGTCAGGTTCTGCCAACTCCAGGCAAAAGAGGCCCCAGGAAGCTTTTGGAAAAAGTCCACTGTCCCCGCCCCAAATTCTGCCTGCCATCACCCTGGGAAACTTGCACTCCTGTTTGTTGTTGATCACCTGCAGCTTTACACAGCAATCAGAGGCCAAAGCTCACTCGAACAAGAGGCATTTGAGAGGCATAGCCGAGAGCCTTACCTGGATTCCCCACCCACCTGCCTGTGAGAGCGGTCAGGGAGCGGTCCCAGTCCAGAGTGTGCCCACAGCGCAGAGCCTCTCTATTTATGCACCAGGGCTCACCTCAATCCCACCCACTAATCCTGTATTCACGTGTTGCCTACTCGGAAGCAAGTGTCCCTTTTTCCAAGCAATTGTCTCCTCTGGATTAAGGAGTTCCTTGGTTTTTTTTAAACTAACATTGCAAAGGGCAATGCTTTTTCAGCATGCAGGTCTCTGTTTGTGAAAGCATATTACACAGAGGTTTGGAAAAATAGGCAGAGTGCCAAATCCAGGTAAGCTTTAAATGAGGACTTTTGATTTGCCTGAAGGCTGATTTGTCTTTATGTGATTGGATGAATGCACACAAGAGATGATTCAGAATTCCAACTCTTAGAGTCATATACCGGCCAGACTCTACTACCATGCAAATTGTTTTCCATGTTATACCACCTTCCTCTGGGAAGAAAAGCTCATTAACTGCAGGTATAAAAAGTATTAATCAAACACGCACAGAATGTTTCAAGACTGAGGAGATTATTGAAAACACACAGCTTGATACTATGAGCTTGTAATAATTGCCCTGCTGATGAATGTATGTAACAATTTCCCTCCAAACTGTTAAAAACATTTACACAGGTATTTTGTTTACTTAATGCTAAGCTTTTCTGCTAGACATGCAGGAAGCCATTTCCCTCTTTCCTATTAGCTTCTTTAGAAACTGATGCCTGAAACTTTATTTTTTTCACTCAAGATTATTTAACTGCTCACTGAAGATTTTAAGATAGGAACTCATATTTTCTGATAGAAAATATTGATCCCATGTTTTGTTCATGAAGTCATACTCAATCCTCAAAAGCTCAGATTGGACAATCCTTTAACGACGGGATGCAAAACCCTATAGAAACTAATTGCTAAAACGAGTTAAGAGCATAAATGTTTCAAAACTTGTTCAATTATGTGCATTTTTTCAATATAGCCTTGAATTCTGTGGAACAGTGATTCTCTACTAAATTTTCTTTCAATTCTGAAAGAGTTTGCAGTGATAATTTCCTTAAGAGTTGAACTGAAAACAATGATTTGAGCCAAGTCCTTAAAATTAAAAAGGCTCATATGTAGACCCGTAGTCAATTTAGCTCTTAGAATATTTGATTCAACCTCTCTTCATTTGGCAAGTAAAAAATGAAGATACCAAAAATTTAATGACTTTCTCAAGAGTCCACAACTAGTTTAGGATGTGTCTGGGACCAGAGCTCAGGGGTCTTTGAGTCTATGGTCTGTGGAAAGGGAAGACTGGACAGCATTTGCTGTCACAAGAGTCCACGCAGCATCCTGCCTTCACTGGATGATGGCAGAGTCGTCATTTAATGAACTTCATTGGGTGATGTCAGAGTTGTCATTTAACAAACTGTCATTTAATGAAAAGTACAGGTAGGAACTTTAGTTTTCCTATCTGTAAGCAGGGGGGAATATACATGCTGTCTTCACTTGTTAGTGAGACAGCGAATGAGAAGGCACATGCTTTGCTGTGTTGGTCTGTTAAGACTTTTATCACAGAATACCACTGGAAGGCGCAACAACAGAAACGCATTTTCTCTCAGTTCTGGAGGCTGGAAGACCAAGATGAATGTGGTGGCAGGATTAGTTTCTCCTGAGGCCTCTCTAGGGTTGTAGATGGCTATCTTCTCTGTGTCTTTACCTGTCCTCTGTATCTGTGTCCTAAATTCCTTTACTTATGAGAATACTACTCGCATGGGATTAGGACCTAACCTAAGAACCTATTTTAACTTGACTCCTCTAAGCACTATCTCTGATTACAGTCACAATTTGAGGGATTAGGGATTAGAATTTCAACATGTGAATGGGACATACAACTCAGGAAAAATATTTGATAATTAAAAAAATCTCAGGTTTGCCATAACTTTTTTTTAACCAGTACCAGGAATCGAACTCATGACCACATGCTTGCAAGGCAGGCACTTATGCCACTGAGCTAAATCCCCAGCATGGTTTACCATAATTAATTATAATGGTATATATAATGGTACTCCTGCACTGAATCTCATATAAGGAAAAAACTGTTATTTGTCATAGTGGCAAAGAAGGAGGAAATAATCATAGACCTACATACATTTTTGGTGGCCCTGACATCTGTGGCATATCTATTTTGATGGGAAGAAAATAGGATTTTGTTGATGGTACGAGTATCTATCCTAGCTCTGAGATAGGAGGGGGAGAAGTGTTTCTTGTAAACTATTAAACTCCATCATGCTTAACAGGGCTGTCACGTAATTAGCCTTTGGGATTTGCCTAATACAGTAAAAATACAATAATAGTAGGTACCTATTTTTAAAAATACCTGGATATGATTTCTCTGAGTAGGATTTGAAAATTCAGTATATAATGATTAGCAGGCAAAGCTAAGCTTGGTACCAATGACTCTAACAAAGGCTATGATGAAAAAGTTGTTACACTTTTGTGCTTTAAGCATCTGTGTTATCATAATTTTAAAGGCTTTTATTCAAGTGTATTTCTAAGTAGGTTATTTTCTATTAAATAAAATCTGGAGACTAAAATTAATGACTAGCAATTATTGAGTAGCCTGGATACTTAAGTATATTGTTTCATTTACCCACTCATTTATTCATTTCTTCAAATATTCAACAACCGTATTTATGTAGCAAATATTATACCAGACGTTAAAAATATAAAGATGAGAAAGTCAGTTACTGAGGTAGTTAGACATAAACAGAGATAACTATAATTGTGGGCGATAAGACATTACAGAGAAAGCTCCTCACAGAAATTTATGACTCTGTCCTTGCCTTCCATCTCTTTGAAGAATCATGATAGAACAATTCTAAAACCTGACCATTCAGGGGAGAATAGTGTGTGGCAGGCACAAGTAAATGGAATAGACATCCAGGTGTTAGTGTTTTGGGGGAAGTAGAGGTACCTGTGTACTAGAATGTCCAGGTTGGTGGTGGAAGGGAAGTTAAGCCAGATGTGATTCATGCCTGCAGTCCCAGCACTTGAGCGCCTGAGGAAGGGAACTGTCATGAGTTTGAGGCCATCTTTGGTCTGCAGAGTGAGTTTAAATCCATCCTGAAGTGCATAGCGAGACTGTCTCAAAAACAAGCAAAAAAAAAAAAAAAAAAACCCACACAAATTAGAATGTAGTGCATCTAATGTGTTAAGTGACTTCCCCATAAGCTCAAATATTTTTGAAGATGAATATTGATAAAGGAAATATTAATAATGTTATTTTGGCATTCAAAACAAATCTTAGTCAATACTTAGTCTTGCTCATTAAAATGATATGCTTCAATGAGTTCCTATAGGCTGGAAACAGAATTTCTTGAAAAAAAAATCTGGGTCTCCTAACAACTTTAGCCACAGAGGAATGAGAGATTTCATACACGTTAAGGCAACGTGTCCTTAGCACCTGGCAGCTGTCCTGCAGTCGATAAAGGCAGAGGACAAATACACTCCTCAGGGTGGAGCCCTGAATAAGCAGCAGTGGTCCAGAGCTGGCATTCGGCCTTAACCATGAAAACGACTTTCTGAAGTTTCACTGCCTCCTGAGATCACTTTTCTTTAACCTCAGTTCTATGACATTTCTTCTGATTTTTTTCTAAACCTTGCTCCTTTAAAAGCTACTATCCCATTTTCTTGTTCGGTCTCGGTTGATCATTCTGTGATTGGGAGGCAAATTTTTTGTCACTGTTTGGCCTCTGCACCTGAAATAGCAGGTTTTTAAAGACAGGGCTAAATAAGTACCAGTGGAATATGGAAACGAGAACGTTACCTAGCAACATGATCTTGGTAAATAGAACATGTAAGATGCTATATCATGAAGCATAATAATTCAAAGCTTGAGAAGTTTTCTTTAACAAGCCTAAACCATAAATTTTAATACTTTGAATCCACACTAGAAATACATTTTACTGTTAAAAAAATAATCTCAAAAGGAAGGTCCTGTTGTGTTTGGACATCACTCATCTGTCCAATGGTGATAAATAACTTTCCAAGGCCTAAACTTTTTATACATAGAGTTGAATGTATGTCTTGGAAGATCAAAATATTTCTTCTTCAATTCATGATTCCAAACTTGCCTTTTGTATGCGTGCTTATATACAGTTTATGTTGTTATGTTGATTTGCCAAAATGAAAGAATTGGTTTCAGGATTGGGTGCGTAGGCTCAGGGGTATAGGATGTGTTTTATAGCATGTGGGGAACTCTGGGATTATCCTCCATCCTCAAAAAGAGATTAGTTTTAAAAAAATCAGAGTTGAGCTAAGTTTTCGATTTTTAAAAAAACTGCTATGATTGTTGCAGATATAAAAAGTTGATAAATGGGTACTAAGTTGCAGCTCGATAGGAGTCAGAGAATTCTGGAGTCCTGTTGTATAGTAGGGTGACTATAAAATAGTGATTGTCTACTGCGTATCTCAAGAAACTTGAAAGGATTTTGAATATTTTCATCATGAAGTGGAGATAAATGTTTGAGGGAGGGGATAGATATGTCTGATTAACCTGCTTACATGATGTACACATACATGTATTGAAACATCACGTGGTACCTATTAAAATGTATCATTTTTATATTTTTATTTATCAGTTAAAATTAAAGACATAGTATTTTTTACATTTATATTTTTTACAACTTAGCCTTTTAGAACCACTTTGTCCTATCCAGATTTTATGTTTTTCCTTGCAATACCAATGAAAGAATAACACGTAACATGTTCTCAATACTCTTCTGTTTGACTGTGCTTTCCATATGACTCACTCTGTAATAACTTTATTCTCAGAGTCTTCAGAAATAGGTCAGCCCCAAAAGCAAACAGAAGAAACTTGCCACCTTTCCTCTCTTCCTGATTTCTTTAGGGCCTCGTCATCACTTACAGGCTAAGCCTTGTTGTGTTCTCCACATAACGTCTTCTCTCGCCTGCTCTTAAAGTACGGATCTTATTGGTTCATTCTTTATAGGCTTTCAGATGCTACGCAGTGAGGGCAAATGGATTTTAATTCAGTGCACATCTAGGATGTAATTCTAGACGTGTATCTACATTACTGTTAAACCAGTTTCCTATTATTCCCATTTTAGGCTGAG